GCTCCTGCTATGAAACCAACAGGTGCAGATTGCAGCAGCTGAGACAGGATGAAGTCCAATAGTCTAAGCACATGACTGAGTGCCAGGAATTCCTGGGCCTTGGACTCCCTCTGTGGCTTTGGGTAAGTCTCACTGAAATGAATACACTTTTGAGGATCAAGTTATAATGACCAGCTTAGTGTTGAGGCATCCTAATACAGGTGCATTACATGATAAATTCAAAGCAAATATTGTGTATTTTATATTAAAAAAAGCAGGCATAGAGCCATGTAAGTATCTACCATAACAGCAAGTGTCATGTAACTAATATAAAATATGCATCTCACATCATCATCCCTAAAATTTACTTAATGAAATTCCTTTGTGTACCTTGAACAGCTAAGCCAGCCAGATGAACTGCTTGCTCTAATGTGCAAGGAATGTTTCCTTCCAAGATATCTTTCTTCAACTGCAAATAATACTGGTATCTAAAAATAAAAATAAAAATAAAAAATCCATATCAGTTTTTCCATTTTTGTTCCAATATAATATAGCCAAAAAATCTTTTCAGAAGCCAATAAATCTTGCAAGCATCTTTGCTTCTTCTCCCTTGCTCTATGCACAGCTAGCAAGAGAATCTTGGGAACAACTTAGCTGCAGAACAGAACAAGATGGGGGGAGGGCAGCTGAGTGGGCTGGAGAGAAATGTTTGGTGGGCAAGATCCAGCCCCTGAGCCTGATTTTGCCCAATCCTGTACTTGACATTTGTATCTGGCATGTAAATTCCTTGTAAAGTCAGCTATAAAACTGCCATGCAAACATTTGTTTTCACTTTCAAATGTCATTATAAACAAGAAGCAGGCTGCATTATTTCCTGTCAATGTAAACGAACTTGTCTGTCTTAGCAACTGGCTGAACAATAAGTAGGACTGAGTGGACTTGTAGACCAAAAGTTTTACACTGTTTTGATTTTGAGTGCAGTTATTTCTGTACATAATTCTATATTTGTAAGTTCATCTTTCATGACAAAGAGATTGCACTACAGTATTTATAGTAGGATAATTGAACAATACTATTTTTTTGTTTTTGACAAAATATTTGTAATAAAGTGAGCACTGTACACTTTGTGATTGAAATCAATATATCTGAAAATGCACAAAACATCCACAAATTTTTAAATAAAAGGTAGGCTATTATTGTTTAACAGTGTGATTAATTCCCTAATACGGAGGATGGGGATCAACTATTCTTTTATCCATTGAAGGTAGGACAAGAAGTAATGCACTTAATCTTCAGCAAGGGAGATTTAGGTTAGATATTAGGAAAAAATAACTATCAAGATAGCGAAGCTCTGAACAGGCTTTTAAGGGTGGTTATGGAATACTTGTCATTCAGTTAAAATTCATGAGTAAACCCAGCATTTGGAACTCACTATTAAAATTACAAATTGCTATGGTATTCCTCAGCTGGGACAATGACAATTCTTGAGTTAAAAGCGACCCACCTTATAAGTCTACTTAGTTATCTAGCAGTACTCTACTTATTATGTGGTTGTTTTTCAATGTGTTACAATTTCTCTCTTACAACCCTGCCAGATCAAATGAAGAATGCAAAAGTTAGAGGATTAACATTTTCCATCTGAGAAGAGGATTATATTGAGAAAGATTCCCATAAACATCTTGCTGAGCAGAGAGACATTTATACTCTCCAAAGAGCATGAAAATTAGTAAGCAAGAACTTTGTAGATAATTAAGAATATTAAAGGCCCAGCCTGCACTACAAAAAACTGTTGTATATCTAGAAATGTATTTTTATTTCACCCTAATTCACTGGAAAACACAGCCAGAAAACAGATTCTCTTCTTTAAATGTGACATACACAGTATGTACATTAAGGTGGTTTTTTTTTTAAAGATTAACTATAATGTCACCTACTATGCATGCCTCCAAGTCCCATGTCACTGATGGTGGTATTACAGCTATTAGTAGTTGTATCGGAAGACAAAATGCAGGCAAAGGTTGTGGGAATGGAAGACACATAATTAGTCTGGTCATGGGGAAGTCAGGTAAACCATTATATCTGGTGTTCCTATGTATAACCTATCCTACTTGCCCCCAACTAGCCAACATTATATGGGCCCTACCTATAGTCTTTAGGATTCAAAACTACCAGTAGCCAGCATTAAATGTATAATTTCTTGTAGGCCTTATGGCAGAAGGAAGTCTTCAGGAGAGATTTAAATGTGGGGTAACAGTCCTGTGGACTAGGTCAGCAAGCACATTCCAGGCATAGGGGGAGTTGACGTGGGAGACCACTGAGAAAAGAATAGAGTGTACAAACACATTCTTATTCATTAAAATGCATCCTCTGCTCCTGCTATGAAACCAACAGGTGCAGATTGCAGCAGCTGAGACAGGATGAAGTCCAATAGTCTAAGCACATGACTGAGTGCCAGGAATTCCTGGGCCTTGGACTCCCTCTGTGGCTTTGGGTAAGTCTCACTGAAATGAATACACTTTTGAGGATCAAGTTATAATGACCAGCTTAGTGTTGAGGCATCCTAATACAGGTGCATTACATGATAAATTCAAAGCAAATATTGTGTATTTTATATTAAAAAAAGCAGGCATAGAGCCATGTAAGTATCTACCATAACAGCAAGTGTCATGTAACTAATATAAAATATGCATCTCACATCATCATCCCTAAAATTTACTTAATGAAATTCCTTTGTGTACCTTGAACAGCTAAGCCAGCCAGATGAACTGCTTGCTCTAATGTGCAAGGAATGTTTCCTTCCAAGATATCTTTCTTCAACTGCAAATAATACTGGTATCTAAAAATAAAAATAAAAATAAAAAATCCATATCAGTTTTTCCATTTTTGTTCCAATATAATATAGCCAAAAAATCTTTTCAGAAGCCAATAAATCTTGCAAGCATCTTTGCTTCTTCTCCCTTGCTCTATGCACAGCTAGCAAGAGAATCTTGGGAACAACTTAGCTGCAGAACAGAACAAGATGGGGGGAGGGCAGCTGAGTGGGCTGGAGAGAAATGTTTGGTGGGCAAGATCCAGCCCCTGAGCCTGATTTTGCCCAATCCTGTACTTGACATTTGTATCTGGCATGTAAATTCCTTGTAAAGTCAGCTATAAAACTGCCATGCAAACATTTGTTTTCACTTTCAAATGTCATTATAAACAAGAAGCAGGCTGCATTATTTCCTGTCAATGTAAACGAACTTGTCTGTCTTAGCAACTGGCTGAACAATAAGTAGGACTGAGTGGACTTGTAGACCAAAAGTTTTACACTGTTTTGATTTTGAGTGCAGTTATTTCTGTACATAATTCTATATTTGTAAGTTCATCTTTCATGACAAAGAGATTGCACTACAGTATTTATAGTAGGATAATTGAACAATACTATTTTTTTGTTTTTGACAAAATATTTGTAATAAAGTGAGCACTGTACACTTTGTGATTGAAATCAATATATCTGAAAATGCACAAAACATCCACAAATTTTTAAATAAAAGGTAGGCTATTATTGTTTAACAGTGTGATTAATCGCAATCAGTCCTAAAAAGAAAAGCATAAAGAAGTGGGACAAGAGCAGCTGTGACAAGGTGAATCAGAAATCTGTCTATTCCTACCTCCCTATTGAGGCTATGTACACATGGCCCATTGATTTGGATATTTAGAATTTGGCTTTATAGAACAAGTTTTTCTTCATATTTATTTGTAGAGAGCTTATCCTAATTCATTTACCCTTTCTTATTTCTTCTGATTACAAAAAAATCAATAAAATAATAATAATGAAGGTACATTGGGAAGCCAGATTGATATTCACCTTATGAAGAGCTGAACAGTGAACATGCTGAATTGGATTCTCCTTTGCAATTAACAGGACTTCCTAGCACTTGTGCCTGTGATCAGTTGACTCGCAATACAAAAGTGGAAATTGATGCCAATTTCCTAGTATCCATCTTTATAATCTATAAGTCTATAATCAAACACATAGCCTTATCTGGCATTCATAAGCCATATATGCAGATAACCTGCTTCTGTCAGGTCTTTAGGCGGTAAGTATTAGATTGGTTTCCTGAAGCAAAGTATTGCTCTGAAAGGAAGCTTCATAATAATTGAAAGGTAGATTATACAAGCATGTCTGTAAGTAACTTTACTAGGTTCCAGTGGATTCATAAGATAACTGCACCTACTATGCATGCCTCCAAGTCCCATGTCACTGATGGTGGTATTACAGCTATTAGTAGTTGTATCGGAAGACAAAATGCAGGCAAAGGTTGTGGGAATGGAAGACACATAATTAGTCTGGTCATGGGGAAGTCAGGTAAACCATTATATCTGGTGTTCCTATGTATAACCTATCCTACTTGCCCCCAACTAGCCAACATTATATGGGCCCTACCTATAGTCTTTAGGATTCAAAACTACCAGTAGCCAGCATTAAATGTATAATTTCTTGTAGGCCTTATGGCAGAAGGAAGTCTTCAGGAGAGATTTAAATGTGGGGTAACAGTCCTGTGGACTAGGTCAGCAAGCACATTCCAGGCATAGGGGGAGTTGACGTGGGAGACCACTGAGAAAAGAATAGAGTGTACAAACACATTCTTATTCATTAAAATGCATCCTCTGCTCCTGCTATGAAACCAACAGGTGCAGATTGCAGCAGCTGAGACAGGATGAAGTCCAATAGTCTAAGCACATGACTGAGTGCCAGGAATTCCTGGGCCTTGGACTCCCTCTGTGGCTTTGGGTAAGTCTCACTGAAATGAATACACTTTTGAGGATCAAGTTATAATGACCAGCTTAGTGTTGAGGCATCCTAATACAGGTGCATTACATGATAAATTCAAAGCAAATATTGTGTATTTTATATTAAAAAAAGCAGGCATAGAGCCATGTAAGTATCTACCATAACAGCAAGTGTCATGTAACTAATATAAAATATGCATCTCACATCATCATCCCTAAAATTTACTTAATGAAATTCCTTTGTGTACCTTGAACAGCTAAGCCAGCCAGATGAACTGCTTGCTCTAATGTGCAAGGAATGTTTCCTTCCAAGATATCTTTCTTCAACTGCAAATAATACTGGTATCTAAAAATAAAAATAAAAAATCCATATCAGTTTTTCCATTTTTGTTCCAATATAATATAGCCAAAAAATCTTTTCAGAAGCCAATAAATCTTGCAAGCATCTTTGCTTCTTCTCCCTTGCTCTATGCACAGCTAGCAAGAGAATCTTGGGAACAACTTAGCTGCAGAACAGAACAAGATGGGGGGAGGGCAGCTGAGTGGGCTGGAGAGAAATGTTTGGTGGGCAAGATCCAGCCCCTGAGCCTGATTTTGCCCAATCCTGTACTTGACATTTGTATCTGGCATGTAAATTCCTTGTAAAGTCAGCTATAAAACTGCCATGCAAACATTTGTTTTCACTTTCAAATGTCATTATAAACAAGAAGCAGGCTGCATTATTTCCTGTCAATGTAAACGAACTTGTCTGTCTTAGCAACTGGCTGAACAATAAGTAGGACTGAGTGGACTTGTAGACCAAAAGTTTTACACTGTTTTGATTTTGAGTGCAGTTATTTCTGTACATAATTCTATATTTGTAAGTTCATCTTTCATGACAAAGAGATTGCACTACAGTATTTATAGTAGGATAATTGAACAATACTATTTTTTTGTTTTTGACAAAATATTTGTAATAAAGTGAGCACTGTACACTTTGTGATTGAAATCAATATATCTGAAAATGCACAAAACATCCACAAATTTTTAAATAAAAGGTAGGCTATTATTGTTTAACAGTGTGATTAATCGCAATCAGTCCTAAAAAGAAAAGCATAAAGAAGTGGGACAAGAGCAGCTGTGACAAGGTGAATCAGAAATCTGTCTATTCCTACCTCCCTATTGAGGCTATGTACACATGGCCCATTGATTTGGATATTTAGAATTTGGCTTTATAGAACAAGTTTTTCTTCATATTTATTTGTAGAGAGCTTATCCTAATTCATTTACCCTTTCTTATTTCTTCTGATTACAAAAAAATCAATAAAATAATAATAATGAAGGTACATTGGGAAGCCAGATTGATATTCACCTTATGAAGAGCTGAACAGTGAACATGCTGAATTGGATTCTCCTTTGCAATTAACAGGACTTCCTAGCACTTGTGCCTGTGATCAGTTGACTCGCAATACAAAAGTGGAAATTGATGCCAATTTCCTAGTATCCATCTTTATAATCTATAAGTCTATAATCAAACACATAGCCTTATCTGGCATTCATAAGCCATATATGCAGATAACCTGCTTCTGTCAGGTCTTTAGGCGGTAAGTATTAGATTGGTTTCCTGAAGCAAAGTATTGCTCTGAAAGGAAGCTTCATAATAATTGAAAGGTAGATTATACAAGCATGTCTGTAAGTAACTTTACTAGGTTCCAGTGGATTCATAAGATAACTGGGAAAATTCATCCTAAGAATAACTTCATTATTATATATTCTAAATACACTAAAAGGATAATAAACACCACTGTTTGGACACAGTTTCTGCCTTAAGTCTGCATTTTCACAAAGGTTGGAAATCAAGCAATTATGTCTTCCTTAAGATGAGCCATACATGTTAGAATGTTAAAAACTAAAATTAAAGCCACATGCAGCTGTAGGCACATAAAACACTACTCCAAAATAGACAGTCGGTTCCAAAGCATATTTATCCAGCTGCTTTTTCAGAGGCTTGTCCAAATCCACCCATCGACGCTGGTTCTGCTTATTGTAATACCACAGACTGAAATAAGTAATCTGAAAAAGAGTGAAGGGATTCAATAGTCAAATTGAGGCAATATTGCAAAGACAAATAAAGTGCATACAGCATGAACCTGGCACTATATCCAAATCTGAGAGATACAGGATTAACACAATTTAGGCTTTATAAGCCCATAGCTAGAGCCCTTCCAAATTCACAGTCCATTCTTGTCAATTTCACGAGCAGAGGATTTTAAATTAATCAATTTCATGATTTCTGATATTTACATCAAGACATTTCATGTTGTTGTAACCATGCGTGTCTGGTTGTAAAGTTGTAGATGGCTCCCCAAAATTGCCATCTTCATTTCTGTGCTACCTTCAGAACCCAACTCTGAGGGCAGCTAGAGGAGGTATTGGGAGGTGGAGGTGGAGGTGGGTAGGATCTCCTGCCACACTGTTTGGAGCATCCCAGCCAGGGGCTCCTAGATTATAGTTCATACCAGGGACAGATTAAGGCAGACATCCCTGGCTATTTTGGACTCCCCCAGGAAAAATGCGTACCCCAGCCCTGGAAGAAGCCCCAGGGCAGAAACTCCTACCAGATTTCCTTTAATCCCTGCAGGAGCTGTGCTGAGGAAGAAGCCCCAAGCCCCATACGACATGGCTCCCTGGACTGCCCTAGATTCAGTTTTCTGGAGCAGAAGCCCCTAGGTAAGGAAGCCCTGAGCTGCAACAGGAGGGGAAGATGGTCAGAGCCCAGGCTGCTGCTGCCAGGCGTGAAAGCCCCCTGCCCAGAGGAAGCCACAGCAGGAGGATGCCCTTAGCTCTGCACCTGGATCTGGAGTGCAGCTGGGCCTGGGGGGAAGGGTAGAAGGAAAGAAACCTAGAGCCCAACTCTTGTGCTGCTGCAGCACCCAAGTAAGGGCACTGCCTCTGGAGGTGGGTCTGATCTCCCCACCAAGAGCAACCATGCAGGGGAAGGACAGTTCCTGTTCAGAGATGAAAGTAAGTGGGTGTGGCCTGGTATGCAGCTCTGCCAAGAGCTGGCTGAGCTGCAGCAAAAGCCAGCAGGGGCCCGGGATGCAATAGGACAGCACCTGTAAGAAATGTTAAGCTACTTGTCCTTCTCTTGAATGACCAGTATAGTAGCTAGGAGCAGCAAGGGAGATCAGATTTCACAAGGGAGGGCTAATTTCATGATATGACACACATTTTTCACAGCTATGAAATTGGTAAGGCCCTTCCTATAGTCTTTCAGATTCAAACTGCCAGCAGCACTGAAATATTTTAACAGTAATAGCATGTTAACTGGTTAAATGTTACAAAGTTAATTGGTTAAACATTACATTTAACCAGCATCCCAAGGTTCAGCCTACCAGTGGGAGCAGCTTCCCACCTGCCATGCACAGGGCTCGGCTGGACTGGAGCAGTCTCCAACCCATGTCAGGCAAGGAGCTGCTCCAACCCAGTATGACAGCTGGTTAACCGCATACTGGATAACTGGTTAACCCTTTTTATCCCTAGTCTCATCTGGCAGCCTTTATTCCCATGGGTAAAGATTTCAGAATTGAGTCCTCACTGAGCGTGGACACAGATATAAAAGACCTATCTTAGCTTTCTGTGACAAAAATCAGACAGACAAACCATCAGTATTTTTTTATAATGTAAAGCATCAGTGCTGTGCACTGGGATCAGTGACAGTAAGGAATTTTCCCACATGACTTATATATGCTCAGTTATAAGTGGTGCAGGAAGAAACACCTACAGACTGCTTTATAATGGCATTTTCAGTTGCTTTCAACTTTGCAGGTAACTGCCTGGTATGAAACATCCTGTGCCAGTTGTCTGCCTCAAGTTGATTTCCCGCCCCGTTTCCCACCATACTAAAGGATCAGCCATTTCTGAGAATGAGAATAGGAAAAAAAATGAGTTTGCCAACATTTAAGTAATTTATAAAACTGTTCACTGAGAAGCTTTAGAGCCTTCATGTTTTGGAGAAAGAGCTTAACATTTATCAAGGGTGTTGTCTCGTTTCAAAGATGTTTGTGCTAACAGATGGGGGCCTCTCCCATTGGCTAGCTTTAGTCGGTTCCCTACATAGTACTGTGATCCACAAAGCCAGCATACAAAGTGCATATCACTCAACATTCACTGAACATGGTGCCCAAGCATCCAGTTCAGGCTTTGCCGATTGCAGTGTTATTCTGTGATTTTTTTTACGGATCTAAAAGTCAGGGACGTTTAGAATCATAATGGCTAAGTGCCTTTGTGGATCTGGGCTTAGGGTACCATGACAAAAGCAACTTAAAAAACTGAGGAAGATAATTTTGGTTTCAGTGCAGTGTTTGTATGGTATGCAATAAACAACATACAGGGACAGGGCCACACACTGAGGGTATGTCTACACTCCCCCGCTAGTTCGAACTAGCGGGGTAATGTATGCATACCGCACTTGCAAATGAAGCCCGGGAAATTCAAATCCCGGGCTTCATTTGCAAGTGCGGTATGCATACATTACCCCGCTAGTTCGAACTAGCGGGGTAATGTATGCATACCGCACTTGCAAATGAAGCCCGGGAAATTCAAATCCCGGGCTTCATTTGCAAGTGCGGTATGCATACATTACCCCGCTAGTTCGAACTAGCGGGGTAATGTATGCATACCGCACTTGCAAATGAAGCCCGGGAAATTCAAATCCCGGGCTTCATTGGCAAGTGCGGTATGCCTACATTACCCTCCTAGTTCGAACTAGGGGGGTAGTGTAGACATACCCTGAATGAAGAGGATAAAAAGTACTGAACCACTGCCCTTTGAATGAGCTATTCATGTCCATCAAGCACTGAATGAGGCATGGTTCCTGTGAAATAACTGTAGGTGAATATGTAATTAAAAGGACTTGTCAACACAAACAGCTAGACCATAGCAAACTGAGATGTGAAAGTGCCCCACACCAGCCTAGAGTAGACTAAATGTCCGTGTGCATCTTGAAGATGAACACAGGTTTTCATGGAAACTCGCATCAGTAAGGTACACCAAGACAGGTAGTCTGCTGCAGACTAGTGTGGGGTAAAGCCATAGCCAGTTTGCCATGTAACTGTATGTCTAGATAAGCCCATGGACACACACACACACACACCTGAATTAAAGCTTAATTATGACGTTTCCTAATATATGACAATACAGGCAGTCCCCAGGTTACGTACAAGATAGGGACTGTAGGTTTGTTCTTAAGTTGAATCTGTATGTAAGTCGGAACTGGCATCCAGATTCAGCCGCTGCTGAAACTGATCAGTTTCAACAGCTGCTGAATCTGGACGCCAGTTCTAACTTACATAGGATTCAACATAAGAACCCCAGGCGTCCCCAAGTCAGCTGCTGCTGAAACTGATCAGCGGCTGATTCCAGGAAGCCCGGGGCAGAAC